CTCCGACTTAACTCTCCACCACTTTTGAATACAAGCCAACACTAAACAAAATGAAAGGTATGCTCCAAGATCACACTTGCCCACCTCTGTGTCTCTGCTCAAAAACGCAGGTGCCAGGGTGCTCTCAGCACCCTCCCTTCCCATTCCAGATCCATATCACCTCCCGCTCCGGCCTTGCTGTTATACAGAGACAACTGCAAGGCCGGCCTTCTCTCAAAGCCTGTTATTTACCACTTTCTGACTTACTTCATATGTATTTACAGGCATCTTGTCTTTTAAACATTCTCCAAACTCTTTCAAAACAAACTCCATTGCTGATTTAGAAGCCAGAACAAACCCGTACTAGGTGCCCAAATAGTTCATGAAGAGATGTGTAAAGTCACTTAGTGAGCACCAACACAAAAGCACCACCAGCCACCGTTACGTTTTTCAGCAGTACACATAACAGGCACAGGGTAGCAGAGCTAAGATCCCATACATTCTTGTAGTATTTATTTATTGTTAGAAATTGTGTCTCTCTTCTACAGAGAATACATTCACTGATAAAATTCTGAAATGTGAAATAATAGTTGTATTCAGAATGCAAAACACCTTTGGAATAATGTTTACACAAAATTATAAATTAGTGGGTATCAGCTTAAGTGTGAACAAGCAAACAAATAAATAAAAGAGTAACAATAACTGATCACCAGGTTCAATTGATAATGGAGCGGAGAGCGGGCCCAGAGTGCTCTCAGCAGTGGCCTAGTTACCATCACACAGCCCCAGGCACCTCCATGACCTTGAGCAGCAAGGCCGAGACCCAGCAGCTGCCGGCCGCCACCCTCACGGCAGCCAACACCAAGCCCTGCACCACCCGGAGCAGTGCAGGGAGCAGCGGCAGGGGCGGCCTCACATGGGCATCACCTACCTGCAAGGACGAGGTGATCCCAATGAACGTCTGAGGAACAGTCAAATGGTTCAGTGTAAGAAACCGGCTTGGTTTCATCAACAGGAACGACACCAAGGAAAATGTGTCTATACACCAGACTGCCATAAAGAATAACCCCAGGAGATACCGTCGCAGTGTGAGAGAAGGACAGACCGTGGGGTTTGATGTCAAAGGAGAAAAGGGAGCGGAGCAGCAAACAGCACAGGACCTGGCGGAGTTCCAGTTCACGGCAGTAAATACGCAGCAGGCTGTGGCCATTATACACGGTCCTCCACACAATTACCAGCAAAATGACCAGAATAGTGAGAGTGGGGAAAAGGAGGGATGGAGAGCGCCCCAAGGCCAGGCCCAACACCAACGGCCTCACTGCAGGTGAAGGTTCCTCCTTACTACAGGGGAGACCCATGGGCATCGACCACAGAATTCCAACCCTCCAGTGCAGGGCGACATGATGGAGGGTGCAGACAACCAAGGCTCAGGAACACAAGGTAGACCAGTGAGGCAGAATATGTATGGGGGCTATCGACCATGATTCCACAGGGGCCCTCTTGCTGTCCCCCTGCCAAAAATAGCCCAGAGAGAACAGCAATGAAGACGATGAGGAAAATCAAGATGAGACCCAAGGTCAGCAGCCACCTCAAAGTCAGTATCGCTGCAACTTCAATAACCGACACAGTGCCCAGAGAACCCTAAACCACAGGTGGCAAAGAGACAAAAGCAGCCAATCTACCAGCTGAGAATTCACCCGCTCCCAGGCTGAGCAGGGCAGGGCTGAGTAAATGCTGGCTTACCATCTCCACCATCATCATTTCAGCCACCCAACAAGAAGTGAATACGAAATTCCAGCAATAAGAAATGAACGGAAGATTGAGCTGAAGATGATCTTAAGAGCTTCCTTTTGTACATTGACCAGATAACTTGAACCATCTATACTATCTATGCAGCATGGGGTTTTTATTATTTTTACCTAAAGATGTCTGTTTTCAGTAAGGACAAACATGTTTTGTTTTGTTTTGTTGAGAGATTTTTGCTATAGGGCACATGTGCTCACCAGAGAGACAGAAAAAAAATCACTCCCCTGAGGGCGATGGTCACGCTGCAATCCCTTCTCCTTCATTCTCCTCTCAGGATTTTGGGCACACACGCACACACACCCAGCATGAGTTTTAAGTTACCATGGTAGACTACATGGGAGTCCAGCAACATAACCATTATGCCCTTTGCTGGTCCCAACAAATGTGTTTTTGTTTGGTTTGTTTTTGTTTTTGTTTTTTTAAAAAAGCCTGATTTTTCTCAATACACCGTTAAAGGTTTTTAAACCATTTTGTATCTGGTCAAGTTGAGATTTTTAAGAACTTTCTTTTTAATTTGTAATAAAAGTTTACAATTAGATTTTGTCAAAAAGTCAACAAACTGCAAGCACCTGTTAATAAAGGTCTTAAATAATTGTCCTTACATAAAAACAAAACAAAAACTGATCATCTTAGGAAGTATTCCTCACTGTATATTTCAATGATTGAGGAGAAAAAAAAAAAAAACCCTCCTCAACACAGGGATGATGACAGCTATCCTGAATGGATTCAAATTTACTAATGACACAATGTTCTAAAAGCTACTTTATCGTTACATTTATTTATTTACTAGGAAGCTGCTGGATCCTATCACATCTTTATGCCAACAGCAAATCTAGCCTGATAAAATATCTTATGCACTAGAGTATTTTTTGTTTTATGTCTTACCTTCAACTTTTTTTTCATATCTGAAGTCTCTTGCATCTTCTTATACTCTTTTATCTCTGTGCTCTGAATGGCAGTCTTTGATTTCAGAATCCAGTTCAACAGCTCTGCACTTACAGCATCAAACCTGATTTAAGATTCAAACGTAACAAATGTCACTTGTTTTCTTCCACTGTTTTACTGGGCTCAACAAAGACCAACCCAAATATCTAACAGGCATTTATTTTTAAACATTCCTGGAAATGACAGCCCAGAAATACTGTAACCATGCAAAATAATACCATACCTTTAGAGAAAGTAATATTATAATGTCAATAAATAATTGAAAAACCTTTATATTTTTTAAATTAATTTTATAAGAAATCACTAGTACTTTTATAAACTCCAGTAGATAACATAAACCCAATTTGGTTAGATAACAGAAAAAAAATCAAGTACAGCCATTCCTAAAGTGAATGCCTCTGTTCAGTATGCAATTATTGAATCTTACTATCTGCCTAGCATTTGGTTGGACTCTTGATAGGAAGGTGAACCAAATTGCAGCCCTGGGACCAACAGTTGGCATAATGGCTATGTGGCTGGACTCTCTTGTGGTCGACTGCGGTTCGAGTCCTGGACCCAAGAGCTTAAACTCACACCGGGTGCACATGCATGTCCAAGATCCAGAGAGGAGAATGAAGGAGAAGGGATTGCAGCCTGGCCATTCCCCCTGGGGGGTGATTTCTCGCTTTCTGTCTCTCTGTCTCTCTCTTTCTGGTGAGCACACGTGCCCTATAGTAGCAAAAACCTCTCCAAAAAAAAAAAAAAAAAACCCCAAAAAAAAAAAAAAAAAAAAAAAAAAAAAATCTCAGCCCTCAGAAGCTTTTGTTCTAGTGAACAATGGAAAGTAAAAGGCAGCCACAAAAACTTTGCGAAGAACCAAAGCCAGTCATTCACAGGAATGGCTCTTAATCCAACCAGGAAAGACATGGCTTCCTAGAGAACAATGGCGCCATGCTCAGGAGTTTGCATTGGGAGAACAAAGAAAGGGAGCTCACACTTTCAAACTGCAAATTGTTCTGTGTGTCCAGAATAGTGAGTACATGCAGGGAGGAACAACTAACAGAGCAGCCCAGAATCACACAGAGCAGTTCCCAGAAAGCCCTGCAGGAGGCAGTAAGGTGTTTAGACTTCACCAAAGGGCCACTGAGAGTCAGAGAAGCATTTTAAGCACAGGACGGACATGACTCTATTCACACTGAAGAGAGAAGGTTGCTGAACCACACTCTCCCACTAAAACAGCCCCACCTCCAACCTTCTGGTAATGTGAGATAATCAATGAGCTCATTGTTTGGGTCACTTGGGACTTGGGATTCTGCTTCTTGCAGCAAAAGGACCCTATACAGGATGCTCATGTTTAAATTAGAATTTCACGGTAAAGCACCCTTGTCTTTTACAAACTTCCATGTTTCCAAATGCACAGAGTCAGCACTTGAGAGATACACAGCCACGGGGGAAAGGTCACAATCTACGCTAATGTGAACATCAGAAGCAACTTCCTCCTGTGCTGACTTAGCTCTAAAGGTGAAGCTTGCACAACTGCTGCTTGCAAGTGAGAAGACACTGGTCCTGGGGCCAGGAGGTGGCATAGTGGTTAAGGTGCTCGGCTACCACATGGTCAACTGTAGTTTGAGTCCTGGACCCACACTGGTATGTGTATGTGCATGTCCAAAATCCCAAGAGGAGAATGGAGGAGAAGGGATTACAGCCTGGTCATTCCCCCTGGGAGGTGACTTCCTACTTTCTCTCTCTTGGTCCTTCTCTGTCTCTCCAGTGGGTACACACACCCTATAGTAAAAAGAAAATCTTTCTTGAAAAAAAGAAGACATTTTCCTGTAAGGAGATGCTATCAGGAGGCAGAAATACAGCCTTACTACCAGAATAAAAATCATCGGGTTTAATGAGAAACCTGCTCAGTCTAATGAAAGCTAAACTAGTGGAAGCATGTCATTTTTATCCAGGCCCCAAATAATTATCCACTTACCCCAGCACTGGGATTCTACCGCAAAAGGCTGTTTTCAGGATTAACTACCATAATGCAAGGAAGAGACAGTACTTGAGATGCCATATCATTTAACAGATTATCAGACATCAGTAAAAGCTCACTATGCATCAGCCATGATTATTCTTCTTATAAAGATCCCGAATTTTCTTTTGAATGGGGAAAATAAAGCGAGATGCTTTATGCCAAAGATGGAGCTTTAAGCCAAACATAAAGAATCTGTTAATGAATCTGATGAAGAATTTAACAGACAAAACATGAGAATGGAATAAGAACAAAGGAAGAAAAAAATCAGGTTAAAAATTATTATTTTCCAGCTGGCCACCTACACAGCAGTTATTCCACATGGCCAACCACCATTCAAATCCCAGCCCCAAAAGCTTGAGAAACATGCCAGACACACATGTGTGCATGCTCAAACTCCTGACGGGATGGAGAAATGAAGAGAATGGTTTGTGACATGACCACACCCACTGAGGGGTACTTCCTCTCTCTCTCTCTCTGGCCAGCACGTGTTGCCCTCTGGCCAAAGAAAAAAGAGAAGCAAAGAAGAAAGGAAAAAAGACAGGGAGAGAGGAACAAAGAAAAGAATTTCTCTAAGTTGTTAAGTATTTTTTTAAAGATTCATATATTTATTTGTTGTTATTATTATTATTATTATTACTATTATTATTAATTTCACCAGAGAGAGAAAGAGAAAGGGAAAGTGAAAGCAAGCTGCCAGGTCTGGGACTCAAACTGTGTTTGGCCATGTGGGTGTTCAGTGCTTAACCACCACATCACCTGTCGGCCCCAAATTAAGTATTTTTTAAAGGTAAGAGGAAGGAGGAGAGTCACAAAGAATATCTATCTAAAGCAAAACCGTCAGAGTTGTGAATCATTAAAGAAAACACAAATGAGGAGTCATGGACCAGGCAAATGTTGGAAGAAGAAGAAATTAAAACAGACTTCTCCAGATTGAATGCAGGATAAACAAAATCCTTCAAGTCAATGCAGATGCTTAGCTAGTAAGAAGTAGAAGATGCAGAAGAGTCAGGGCCAATGAGTGATTCAGTGGTTGAATTTCCACAATAATAATTATGTCTAAATTTGCATGGGATTACTGATTGGTATAAACTCAGGGCCAAGTATCAAGTACATATGTACACTACTGAGTTTCAAAATGTTCTCACTTTTTCTTAGCTTCCATATCCACATGGATCTGTCTCTTCTTTGGGGGAGGAGGAGGAGGCAGTTCCTGCTTAGACTTTTTTGTAGTTACTTGTTCTCTTACACGAACAGTCTCCAACAGATCCTTCTGAGGAATCTGGGACATCCCCAGCTTTGCTACTGCCTGAGTCACCTGAAATAAAAGTCAGCCAAAGTTTTAATTTTTTAATAACAGTTTTATCTAGACAAATTCACACTCCATATGATTTCCTTTCGAAATGTCCAACACAGTGGTGACCAGTATATTCACAGAGTTGTACAACCATCCTCACTTTCCACCTCCACAACAATTAATCACCCCAAAAAGAAACATTATACCTAGATCAGCTCCCCAGGCCTACGGACCTGGATCCTGCAAAGTCCATCAAACCAGTTCAAATCCTGGCCCCAGTAGCTTGAAAATACATGCCAGGACATGTGTATGTATACCCAAAATCCCAACAGGGTGAAGAAATGGAGGAGAAGGGTTTGGGGCATCACCACACCGCATTAAGGCGACTTTCTCTGCCTCTCTCTCTCTCTCTCTCTTTCTCTCCCTATCTCTCTCTCTTCCTGGGGAGTACATGTGCCCTCTGGCAATCAAAAAAAAGAAAGAGAGAGAGAGAGAAGAGGAGAGGAGAGGAAAAGAGGGAAGGGGAGAGAAGAGGAGAGGAAAAATAAGTCCCATGCCCCTTAAGAGTCACTCCTCAGTCTCTACTCCCCAAGCCCTGGCAATCACTAATCTACTTTTTGTCTCCGTAGATTTGTCTGAATGGAATCACAATATGTGCAATCCTGTGGCAGGCTTCTTTTACTTAGCATGATATTTTTAAGGTTCATCCATGTTGCATATGTACAAACTTCATTCTTTTCTGTTGCTAAGTAATACTGCATTGTATGACTATACCACATTGGATTATCTATTCATCTGTTGATGGACATTAGAGTTGTTCTACTTTTCAGCTGCTCTAAATAATGCTGCTATAAACATTCATATAAAAACCAAAAATTTATATTTTTAAATAATTATTTTTTATTTTAACTTTTTTTATTTATTATTATTATTTTCCAATTTGATCAGGGAAAGACAGAGAGAGAGAGTGGGAAAGTGAGAAAGCAAGTCACCTTTTTTTTTATTAGTTCAATAAAATGTTTTAAAGAATACTGAAATTATTGGACCAGCATGTGGTATGGAATTTAAGGTGCTAGATTCCACATGGTCAACTGTGCAGTTCGAGTTCTGAACCTGGCAGCTTGAAAAATATACACGTTGCATGTGCATATATATATGCTCAAAATCCTGAGAGGGGACTGGAAGTGAAGGGATTGTAGTGTGGCTATCCCCCTGGGGGAGTGGTTTCACACTTTCTCTCTCTTGATCTCTCTCTCTCTTGTCTCTCTCTGGTGAGTGCCCATCCCCCATAGCCAAAGAGAGAGAGAGAGAGAGAGAAAAGAATAATAAAATTGTTTAAGATGCAATGTTTAAGATTATGTATTGGATACGTCTGTTAATAGTTTCTACAGGTTAAGTTACTGGATATGAATACACTTTTTGAAGACCTATGAAAATTTACTTTAGAAAACTAAAGGAGAAAATTTTCACATATCTATGTTTCATTAGGTATAAGAAACAAGTTTTCGGTTTATCCACTACTCTTTTATTTCATAACAACTAAACTGAAGGTTTAAAGTTTTACTTAATGGCACAATATACACAATATACTATCCAAATCAAAAATACCTGGTTGGAAGAATCTTCTAGTCTCTGAACCAAAGAATCCCACCTCTGAGTCAGCTCCTCCGAGTCACTGTTGATCTTCTTAGATGCCTTAGGATTATCAAGTAACTGACCCACATCCTGGCCAATTTCACTCAGCTGATCCAACGTTTGGCGCTTCATTTCCATGTCTTCCTTCAAAATCTAGTATTTCAGATATTTGTTAGATGACTCTCTCTTAACAGGATTTATCTTCCTGTTCCCCAGGCCAGAGAGGTAAACATATATTTTACAGTAAAAGCTATCTACTATCCAGTTCTCTGCACTAAGCTAAAACGTAAGACTCCTGTTCCAGATCGTGGCAGGGCAGCCTTCTAGCACTGGGTCATGAGCCATAATTGGTATTCACTACGCTGTAGGAGCCACTGATAGAAAACACTAAGACAACACAGACGCTGACAATGACATCACTTACGGCCAGACGTCGAACACTGACACTTAGTTCTTTTTGGTCCTTGAAGTTACTTGTCTGGACTTTATTTAAAGCCTCTTCTTTTTCGGTTAGCCAAGCTTTCAGCAAGCACTGCAAGTAATAACGAAAGTTGGAAATAAATACATCGGAGGAATCCCTTGCTAATTCAATTCAATCAAATCCCCAAATTTCTAACTTATTTTAGTTGAGACTTCACCCTTACCAGGAATAAGAAGGACTTCTGACACCTAAGTCTGAGGCACAAATGACCTAGAAAGAAGTCTTTTTTAAAAGTATTACCTTTCTCAGATTTCCAACGGAGCAACCTGACATATCCATACCTGGGAAAATAGACCTCATTCTCAGAAAGGTAGGTGGACAAAAGTGGTTAACTCTAGCTACTCAGTCTCCAAAATAATCACACTGCACCTCTCTAGAGGCAGCAGGATGCTCAGAGGCTGTCATGCCTCTCATATTCAAGGAAGGAGAGAGAAGTTGGGTTCCAAGTCCCAGTCCCTTGGCCAGTTAATGGCAGAGCTGGATCATGAACTTTCACCCTAAAGCCAATGGTTTTCCTATGGCATCGGGCAGGTTAAAAAAAAAAAAATTATATTGGGCCCAGTCCCATGGCACAGCAGTTAGGCACTGCCCAAAACACACTGGATCCACATAGCCAACCAGCCAGCCAATCAGATTCTGTCCCCAAAGGCTCCACACCAGGCTAGAAAGTCCAAGATCCTGATGGAAAAGAGAACTGGAGAAAAAGGATGATGTCAAGACCACTGAGAGAGTTCACTCTCTCTCACTCTCATGCATGTGCATGTGCTCTCTACCATGAATAAAAACAAATACAAGTTTTGAGTACCAGATCCAAGATGGTGGCCAGCAAGAGGCTGATGAAGGAGCTTGAAGAAATCCGCAAATGTGGAATGAAAAACTTCCGTAACATCCAGATTGATGAAGCTAATTTATTGACTTGGCAAGGGCTTATTGTTCCTGACAACCCTTCATATGACAAGGGGGCCTTCAGAATTGACATCAACTTTCCAGCAGAGTACCCATTCAAACCACCAAAGATCACATTTAAAACAAAGACCTATCACCAGAACATCAATGAAAAGGGGCAGGTCTGTCTGCCAGTAATTAGTGCTGAAAACTGGAAGCCAGCCACTAAAACCGACCAAGTAATCCAGTCCCTCATAGCACTGGTGAACGACCCCCAGTCCAAGCACCCCCTCCGGGCTGACCTCGCTGAAGAATACTCTAAGGACAGTAAAAAATTCTGTAAGAACGCTGAAGGGTTTACAAAGAAATATGGAGAGAAGTGACCTGTGGACTAAAATCTGCCACAATTGATTCCAGCAAGTGTGAGCAAAGACCCCAAGCAGTGCATCAGACACCCCACAAAGCAGGACTCTGTGGAAAATTGACACAAGCCACCACCTGGCATTCGCTTGTGGCTATTACTAACTTTCTACAGTTTTCTTAATTAAAAGTGGTCTAGGTAACCTGTAAAGAAAGGATTAAAATTTTAAGATGTTCTAGTTCTGCTTTGTTTGTTTTAAAAATCACTGCTTCGGGAACCAGCAGTTAGCGTAATGGCTATGTCGCTGGACTCCCACGTAGTCGACCGCGGTTCGCGTCCCGGACCCGGTGGCTTGAAACTAACACCGGGTGCGTGTGCGTGCGTGCCCAAGATCCTGAGAGGAGAATGGAGGAGAAGGGATTGCGGCGTGACCATCCCCCTGGGGGGTGATTTCTCGCTTTCTGTCTCTATGTCTCTCTCTGTCTGGTGAGCGCACATGCCCTACAGTGAAAATCTCTCCAAAAAAAAAAAAAAAATCACTGCTTCAATCTAAAAAATAAAAAACAAGATTTTAAAAATTATATGGAACAAAGTTCAAGGTCCAACAGCAATTACGATTAAAAAAAAAGAAATTTGAACTTGGTTCAAAGCCAATATAAAGACATTTAAACTATGTCAGCCAACAATGCCTATTTTTTTAAGCAGAAAAAAGAAATACAGGGAGGTAACCTTGAAGGAGTGATAGAAAACAACTGTGGCTGCATTGAGGTAATTCTTCCAATATCTAACTCCTACCTCAGAAACCCTTTTCCACACAGCTAAGGGCAAGAAATCTTGACCCTGTGCTAGCAATAGCATTCATTCGTTTTCAATTGTTTTTCTTACTTATTTTAATTTATTTTTAAGGTTTTGCCATAGAGTACATGCACTTGCCAAAGAGAGAGTCAGTGAGAAATCACCCTTTGTGGGAACTGCAGTTAGCGTAATGGCTATGTCGCTGGACTCCCACGTAGTCGACTGCAGTTTGTGTCCCGGACCCGGTGGCTTAAAACTCACGGCAGGCGCGTGTGCGTGCGTGCCCAAGATCCCGTGAGGAAAATGGAGGAGAAAGGACTGCGGCATGACATCCCCCCTGGGGGGTGATTTCTTGCTTTCTGTCTCTATGTCTCTGTCTGGTGAGCACACGTGCCATATAGCGAAAAACACTCCAAAAAAAAGAAAAAAAAAAAGAAATCACCCTTTGTGGGAATGGCCATGCCACATCCCTTCTCCTCCACTGTCCTCTCAGGACTTTTGTAACACATGCACATGTGCCCAGTATGATTTTGAAGTCACCAGGTCCAGGACTCGAACTGTAGTCAGCCATGTACAAGTCCAGCACCTTAACCACCATACAACTTGCTGGTCCCAATTGACCAAGTTATTTAACAACTGTTCTTCGTCCCTATATTTTAAAAAAATTAAAAAGGACTAGGAACATGAAAGCCAGAGTCCAGCCCCAGCATGGTAGTTAAGTACTGTGTATTAGGAAACACATCTTACACAGTGAACCACAGTTCAAACTCAGACCTGGCAGCTTGAAAAGCACACTGGGCATATGTGCATGAGTGCCCAAAACACTGATGCACAGAGAGATTCAGGAAAAAAGAATTGCAGGGTGACCAGTCTCCTTAGAGAGAGGATTGCTTTCTCACTTTCTCTCTCTCTCTCTCTCTCCACACACACACACACACACACACAGAGAGAGAGAGGGATATATATATATATTCATATATATATATGAAGGGATATATATATCCCTCTTTCTGGCAAATGTACACACCCTCTGGCAACAAAAAAAAGTAAAATAAAAAACAAAAGACAAATGCGTTTTTTTTCCTGCAGTTTTGTAAAGCTGATAAGATCCGCACACAAAGATGGTGTAGATAGTAAGTGCAGATACCACATACACACTGAAAAAACGATACCAAGATACTTGAAAAAAAATTTGTGGAAAAAATGGAATTAAAGTTTATTCTGTTACAAAAATGTTATAATTCCTGCATAGATTTTTTAATAATATATCTCTTCCATGAATTTTTTGAAGACCCTTTGTATAGTTTAATGTATTCTTATTAGAGAGTGTTTCAAAGGTCAATTTAAAACCTAAAGTGATTTAAGTAGCCAAGCTTCTAAGCACTCTCCAGTGTTCTAATATTTTTCAACTATCAAATTAAATTTTTTCAAAGTTTTTAAATGATTTTATTTCACAGAGAGTGACACAATGGCTTTTTCTGGAAATCAATGTCTCCTATTACCATCATTAAAGTAAAATGTTAACTATCCCACATGGGCTCTTCGTTCTAAATACAAGGTTCCAAGCAAATGTAAGTATTTTAAAAGTGAAACATAAATATTGCAGCAATTGGAATCAGGTCTATTAAGTGAATTCTAATTAAAAAAAAAAATTCTGGCACAGGTTAGGTGACAAGGTGGTTATGGCAGCTGGATCTAACGTGGCCAATCCATGGTTTCAGTTCCAGACTGGCGACTTAAAAATCATGCTGGGTGCATGTGTATGTGCGTGTGTGTCCAAAATCCTGAGAGGAGGATGGAAGAGAAGGGATGGCAGTTGAGAGGAGCATGGAAGAGAAGGAATTGTGGCATGGCCATCTCCCTTGGGGGTGATTTCTCTCTCTCTCTCTCTCTCTTTCTCTCTCTCTGACAAACACAAACATACTATAGCAAAAAAATTTTTAAAAAGAAAATTCTGGCCAAAGATTGGAGAAGTGGTAATTAATGATTTATCTTTGGATACATTTTGAAACTAGTTTTTAAGATGTATTATCTGCCAGTAATTTAATAACTCACTAAACAGCATAAACTTGTTTTTTCTCCCCTTGCAAAGAACACAATTTTAAAAAAAAAAAAGAAAAGAAAAAGAAATTTTTGCATTAGGGTACATGCGCTCACCAGAGAGAGAGAGAACAGAGCTAGTGAGAGGGAATGTGAGAAATCAGCTCCCAGGATGTATGGCTACGCCACAATCCCCTCTCCTCCATTATCCTCCCAGGACCTTGGGCACACATGCACATGCATTCTGTGTGATTTTTAAGCCACTGGGTCCAGGACTCAAACCATGGTCAGCTATGCAGGATCCAGCAACATAACCACTACACCACCTGCTGGTCCCCTAACACAATTATTTTGTGGATAGAAATGAAATACATTGAAAAGAATAAAAATGGATACTCTGAGAAATGGAAATAGAGTATATATATATATGCTTATTTTTAAAACCACAACTGTTTGGCATTTTCAAAGAGTTTTGCTTATCTGTATTCTGTTTTAATGTATACTTTTCTAGAAGGACAGAAAATGGCAAAGGGCCATCAGTCTGCCTGAAAAGTAAAGTGGCAAATTTGCACCACAGGTTCATTGGCTGTGGTAATCCTTAGTGGAAAAAAATTCACTATTAAATGGATGCCAAGTCAAATGTGTTGCTAAATTCTGTTTTTCCATTAATTTCAGTACTTATCCCATTAAAAATCAGGATAATTCTGGGACCAGCAGATGGTATAGGAGTTACACCACTGGACTCCTACATGGCCAAACAGGGTTTGAGTCTCAGTGGCTTGAAAATCATGCCAGGTGCATGTGTGTGCATGACCAAGATCCTGGGAAGAGAATGGAAGAGAAAAGATTACAGTGTGGTCATCCCCTGGGGGGTGATTTCTCACTTTCTTTTTCACTGTTTCTATCTCTCTTTCTCTCCAGCAAGCACACACATCTATGGCAAAAAAAAAAAAAAAAAAAAAAAAAAAACCTCTTTTAAAAAAATCAAGAATAATTCTTGTGATGTACATTTCACAGTGTATTGAGTGAATTCATTAATTCATTCTTTACAGAGTGCAAACCATATACTAAGATGATGCTAATTCAAATATATTATCCAGTAGAAATCCAATAATAATTACAATGTTAAATCATGAAATTGGTGTATTTAAGTACTAACATTTTGGCCAGTGGATGACATAATGTCGCTGGACTCCCACATGGCCAACTATAGTTCGAGGCTCAGACACAGAGGCTTGAAACTCATGTCAGGCACATGTGTGTTGAATGCCTAGAATCCCAAGAAGAGAATGAAGAGGAAGGTATTGCGGGGTGGCCATACCTTTCTCACTTTCTGTCTCTCTGTCTTTCTCTGTTTCTTAGCAAGTACATGCACCTAATAGCAAAAATCTCTCTCCAAAAAAAAAAAAAAAAGGCATTAACATTTTAATAATGAGCACAGATCAAATTACATATTATTACCATATGACACAATCTCTATGAATAAGCTGTGTGGTCCAGTTAGGAAATGAACAGAAATAGAATTTTTTGAATAATTTTTTACATATCTTCCTCCCAAAGAAAAATAAACAAGGCAACTTTATACTAATGCCACATAAAAGATGGATTACTTTACACCATTTATTTTGCCCCTGATATCAATAAATAGCAGTTTTATACCTGTTCTTCCAGTAATTCCTGCCATAACATACTGATTTCTTGTAACCTATTCCAGCGTTCTTCAGTCCAACGGCACACTGCTGTCCAACGCTCACCTAGTTTCTAGTAAAGGAAGAAACCACTCTTGGTCAACACAGCCTTGAGAGAGTTACCATGATCCTTAAAGAAAGTCATGATTTCCATTGCTCTTCATTACAACATAGTAATTGACAAAGATATTTTTACAAAAGTAGTTATAAGAGATCAGCAGGTGGCATGAATGTTAAGGTGCTAGATTCCCACTCAGCCGACAGCAGTTCAAGTCTCATACCTAATGGCTTAAAAATTACACGCCATGTGTATGCAAGCATGTCCAAAATCCCAAGAGGAAAATGGAGGAGAAGGGACTGTGGCATGGCCATCCTTCCCGGGGGGGTGAATCACTTTCTATCTCTCTGTCTCTCTCTCTGCTTAGTACATATGCCCTATAGCAAAAACCTTACAAAAACAAAAAAGTCACTTTAAAGTAATATAGACTAAACCTGGTAAGTGTATATGAGAGAAAAACTAATTTCCATCAAACTTAACTAATTATTTCACAGTGCATGCTAGAATGTAGCGCAAGTAGAACCCTATTCCACGTGTTTGATTATAAACTCCTGCCTATAATTTTTGTCTAAGAACTTGACATTTTTATATTTGTCTTCCAAATACATCAAACATATTAATATCTATTTTTTGTGTTTCAAATTTTTCAGCCTATAATTTTCTTTTTTTAAAAAAAATTAGTGTATTGATTATATTTCTTAACCACCTTTTTAAATTTTCTTTAACCACCAAGAAAATTTCAACCTATAATATAAAAACTATAAAAAATGATTAACCTTATTAAAAATTATCCTAAGTAAGATAATTTCTATAAAACATCTCAATGCTTGTTTCTTTCTGTATATATTATATAATCCATAGAAAATTCCACATAATTTAGCAACAATCTTATAAGGATCAGCACTACTAAATAACTTAAATAAACTAATGTCTAAAAAAATCATTTGTGATGGAGTTTCCAAAATAAATTACCATTTTATGATTAACAAATATTAGAATGTGTTTCTACATTACTTACATATGAATAATAATATGAATAATAAGTATTTAATTCATATTATACTGTTTTGATATTCAGTACTAGAGTAAGCTTTTTATAGTACAAAGGATAATGAACACAGAGCAGAAGACGAGTCTCCAGTCTCAGTATGGTACAACTCATCGTCTACTTAAAGCTCGAGCACCTTCAACTCTCTCTGAATTTCAGTGTCCTCACTGCTAAGCAGTCAAGACAGGAATACTCATGTCTCAGGTGACTGTAATAACTGAATGCTACTGCACTGAACTCTCAGAACCATTGGCTGACTTCAGCATGGTGGTTAAGGCACTGGACTTCCACATGACCGACTGTGGTTCAGGACCCAGACTTAGTGGTTTGCTTTCTCACTTTCCCTTTCTCTCTCTTTTTCTCTGTCTCTCTCTGGTCAAATTAAAATAATAATAAAATAATAATAAATACAATTAAATAAATAACATATTTTAAAAATACTACAAAAGAAAAAGAATTCCAGGCCAGCAGATGGCATAGCAGTTATGTCGCTGGATACCCACATGGCCAACCACCATTGGAGTCCTGGACCCAGTGACTTGAAACTTATGTGGGGTGCATGTGCGTGTGTGCCCAAAATCCTAGGAGGAGAATGGAAGATAATGGATTGCAGCATAGCCATCCCCATTTGGGGGATGATTTCTCAATTTATCCTCTTTACTGTCTCTGTCTCCCTCCCTCTCCAGTGAGTGAGTGCAAGTGCCCTAAGGCAAAAACTTCTTAAAAGAAAAAAGAAAGAAAGAAAAAGGATTCCATATGAGGAAATCATATGCAAGTTACTAATAATCATAAATTGGCAACATCATACTAGGTAACCCCTGTATCGTTCAAATGAAGTATCAATAAATATCTTTATGAGGATTTCCGAATATACACTATTGCCTTTGTACAAAAAGAAGCACTTTGTTGAGTCTCCCAAAACTGTTGCTGAAATTCAGGAATATTAAATCCTACACAGCTGAAATTCTCAGACTACAGAATGCATATACCTTTTTTTACAAGTGGTCCTACAAAGTAGGTGGTCCTCCCCCAGAATTCAGGTCTGCATGGAGCCCAGGAATACATATACATTATAACAAATTTCTCAAGTGATTCTGAGACAGGCTTCTGTGGATCTGCTCTTATGCTTTTAAATCATTTTAATATTATACACAAGAAGCTGGTGGTGACCACTGCTCACCTTCAGAACCGAGATAAAGGAATCAATACCTATGCACTTCTGTAACCCACAGTTTGTGAAAACCCAACTGAAATCTACAACCAAAAGTAGGTTTTTCTACCTACCTGGATAAATAATAAGACAGGACGTGAAGAGTGCGGGTGACATGTAACTGGGCCTCAGATCCCAGGTCCTTTATGACCATCCTACTTTACAGGGCCCTTACCTGTAACTGATCTTCCAGAATGGCCGTAGCACTCTCACCACTGTTTTCATCAACAATCACCACCATGTGAGTTAAGGAATTTACTTTCACCTGTTCAGTCTCAAGATCATTTTGCAAACTCTAGAGAAAAAAAAAAGTCAAGATAAACTATTGTTTCTACTCTTTCACATTCACCTATTTAAAATCCACTCAGTTGTCAATAGTAATTAAGGACACTTAATGAAGCATTATATTCAAATTTCCAATCATTACCCTAAGTATTCTACTAATGAAACAAGCCTTCTATACATCTTTTCATTTCATTATTAACCAAAGCAATTTCAAAATGCAATGAAATAACAGCTTGCAAATGGTATGCCATCAGTTTTATTCCAAGTTCTAGCCAAAAAAATAGCACTCAAAAGTTGAGTGTTGGGACAGTAGGTGGCTCTGGACTCCAATGTGACCAACCATGGTTTGAGTCCCAGACCTGGTGACCTGGTGGCCCTCTCTCTCTCTCTCTCTCTCTCTCCCTCTCTCTTTCCTTCTCTGGTCAAATTTTAAAAAGTAAGTAAATAAATAAATTTAAATAAAATAATTATTTTAAAAAGATAATAATAAGTTGAGTGTCTATACCAGGGATTAAAACAAAAATGTAGAACTGGTAAATCAAACAAGTTGAAAGCATAAATAAACAGAGTCTCCAGTGCAATATGGTACAAAGTGAGAGAAAAGCAGAAAGAGGCAGGACAGTCAGAAGCTATCCTGATAAGCTACCCAAAAAACCAGTAAGAACATACGGATGCTTCCCAGTCTCACCTTTTTCATGGGGAAGGTGCAGTCATCAAACATGTGGATATATGTAACTTTTTAAAACACTATCAATAGTATTATTAAATGCCTCTTGAGTTATGTCTAATGTACCCTCAAAACTTTATCAAGTATCTGGATGTTTCATTAATCAATAAAATTCTTTCAAACGCTACCTTTGTTTATCATGGTTATGAAAAGGTGCCCACTAAACATGTGATCAAAGTAAATTGTCCACCAAATTCTGGTTCCTCACCTAGTACCTGATGCTTTCCTGGATCAGAGAAGAAGCAACCACTTTCCTTAAATGATTAGATACAGATATATCTTGGGACCAGCAGGTAGTTAAGGGCACTGGATTCCACACGGCCGACCATGGTTCAAGTCCTGGACCTGGTGGCCTGCTTTCTAACTTTCCCTTTCCTTCTCTCTCTCACTTTTTCTCATGCTATCCCTCTCTGGTCAAATTTAAATAAATGAATAGAGTTTATAAGATAATTTTTTAGATGTAGATACATCTCATTCTTCTTCATCCACAACATTAAAGCCAACATGCTAGGGACTTTAGCCTTTCTTGGTCAAAAAAAAATAAGACCCTTTTCAAAGTTTGTGATAACTATATACTTTCATTTTTTTAAAAAATACATATTCATATAAAATTTTATCTGTGTTTTCATCCCTGGTTCAGAAAAGTCACCTCCCCACGAACTCCATCCTTTAAACTGCAAAATAAAAGAGCAATTTGACAAAGTGTCTCAACTCAATGCCAACGGTACTACAGAAGCCATCCGCCCCTGAGAAGGCTAAGTGCTGCTCTTTCATATTTGATAAAGAATAAAAAAAATATGAGACAGATTTACTTTGTGTTCTTCTAGCAGCTTTTGTAGGGATTTTAAATCATCATCCAGGGGGCAAGTTTCCATCTTCTGAATGCGCTCTTCTGTGCGCGTTAACCAGGCGGAGAGCTGCTGCAGCTGCTGCTTCTGCAGTTCCATCAGCACATCATGCAGCCTGTACAGGAGGGAAAACAGCATGGTTCTCACCAGCTTCTTTTTCTTTCTATTTTTTTTTTTTAAGGAATTATCTATTTGGGGACCAGCAGATGGCATAATGGTTTGTTGCTGGACTTCCATGTAGTCAACCACAATTCGAGTCATGGACCTGGTGGCTTAAAAACTCATGCCAGGAGCATGTGCGTGCATACCCAAAATCCTGAGAGGAGATTGGAGGAGAAGGGATTACAGTGTGGCTGGCTCCCCTGGAGGGTGATTTCTCACTTTCTGTCTCTGTCTCTCATTCTCTGGAGTGTACACATGCCCTATAACAAAAATCCCTCTCTTAAAAAAATGTATTTGATTTTTTTAAATGTACTATTATTATTTTATTTGATACAGTAACCAGAGAGAGACAGAGCAAGAGGGAGAGAAAGGGAAAGTGGGAAAGCAAGCCACCACATCCAGGACTTAAACCATGATAGCCATGTGGGAGTCCAGCACCTTAACTACCACACCACTTGCTGGCCTCAACACTGTTTTTTGTGTTTGTTTTTGTTTTTCCTTTGCAAAGGCAAGTATGCACTCCAGACACCAGAGATATGGGCAAGAGAACACACCCTTGTCTAACCACTTAAAGTTGTGTCTGTCTTTAAATATAGAAGCTAAGCAGAGTCCATTAAATGCAGCGAAAGAATGTAAATAACATCACCTTCTATGCAGAGCAGAATCACTATTTATTAGGCAGGAATTTCTGCTTATTAAATATGTGGAAATGACAATGAAATGCAGTTAGCTCCTAAATACACAATATATGAAATCAAATGGACCGTAAGAAAAAGTACTTTAAAAATAGTTACAGAATGGATACTATGATCTGTGATCAATGCTACATAGATCTATATTCAGACCAAATTAATGATCGGCCACATTTAATATAGCAAGCAGATAACCATCCATATGAAATCTCCTTTCCCATGTAGCTATTTTCTGTATTCCAACGTCTACCTTTCCATTTGGCTAACACATCAAAGTGGAAATGAGGATCATGCAAAATTCCAGCAACATTACCAACAGAAGCATCAAACCTTTACAAGGCAAGCTTTGTAATGATCCTGTTTTTACAGAAATGCCGACTTCTACCTGAGCTAACCTGTGTCTTTTGGCCTATGAAGTAAAACCTTAATTTCTTGGCTTTCTACTCACCGGGATTGTCTGTCCATACTCTCCACTCTGAGAGCCTCCCATCTAGCATTCAGCAGGGTCATTTGTTCTTGAATCTCAAACTCCTCTTCATCCGACAGAGTCCCTTGTGTTATCAGCTGGTTACCGGCCTGCAGGACATTTCCAACACTGCTCTGGTGGGCAGTCAACTCCATCATAAAAGCCTAGAAAAGTACATCACCATGATTTGTCAGCTGCTTGTGGCCAAAAAACAAAATCAAAAACAAACAACAAAACAGTAAGTTGCTAATGCCTAACCTAAATATCAGTGCTTAAAAAAACTAAGGTAGGTTTGTAGAACGGGTACAATAGTCTGTAATCCAATTTTAAAAGTCCTAAAAATAGGAAGTAGACACCTGGCATAAGTAAAAAGATAAATCAGAGAAGAATGTTGCATCCGATAATACCAGCTTCTTTTTAAGTAAATGCTCATTATGGTCCAACCAATAGGTTGTGAACATCAAATTATGAGAAAATACAATAAATAAAACAACATACTCACCCAAAAGGAAGTGCCTAAGGAATAGTATCATTTCTTTCACTTTTAATCCAAAACAGTAAATAAGATCTGTCAGTTAACATACTTACACAAAAAAAAATTTGCTTAACTAAAAAGAAATCTCCATATAGTCAAATTTACTACATAGAAATAAAATATAGCCTCAAAATATCAGGAATATTTTATTATATAAAATTAAACAGGAGGCCCAGCCTCCTGGCACTGTCCACAGCATCCTGCAGTACCAGAAGCCCCATGACCCCCATGGATTCAAAATAGATCTATATTCAGACCAAATTAATGATCGGCCACATTTAATATAGCAAGCAGATAACCATCCATATGAAATCTCCTTTCCCATGTAGCTATTTTCTGTATTCCAACGTCTACCTTTCCATTTGGCTAACACATCAAAGTGGAAATGAGGATCATGCAAAATTCCAGCAACATTACCAACAGAAGCATCAAACCTTTACAAGGCAAGCTTTGTAATGATCCTGTTTTTACAGAAATGCCGACTTCTACCTGAGCTAACCTGTGTCTTTTGGCCTATGAAGTAAAACCTTAATTTCTTGGCTTTCTACTCACCGGGATTGTCTGTCCATACTCTCCACTCTGAGAGCCTCCCATCTAGCATTCAGCAGGGTCATTTGTTCTTGAATCTCAAACTCCTCTTCATCCGACAGAGTCCCTTGTGTTATCAGCTGGTTACCGGCCTGCAGGACATTTCCAACACTGCTCTGGTGGGCAGTCAACTCCATCATAAAAGCCTAGAAAAGTACATCACCATGATTTGTCAGCTGCTTGTGGCCAAAAAACAAAATCAAAAACAAACAACAAAACAGTAAGTTGCTAATGCCTAACCTAAATATCAGTGCTTAAAAAAACTAAGGTAGGTTTGTAGAACGGGTACAATAGTCTGTTATCCAATTTTAAAAGTCCTAAAAATAGGAAGTAGACACCTGGCATAAGTAAAAAGATAAATCAGAGAAGAATGTTGCATCCGATAATACCAGCTTCTTTTTAAGTAAATGCTCATTATGGTCCAACCAATAGGTTGTGAACATCAAATTATGAGAAAATACAATAAATAAAACAACATACTCACCCAAAAGGAAGTGCCTAAGGAATAGTATCATTTCTTTCACTTTTAATCCAAAACAGTAAATAAGATCTGTCAGTTAACATACTTACACAAAAAAAAATTTGCTTAACTAAAAAGAAATCTCCATATAGTCAAATTTACTACATAGAAATAAAATATAGCCTCAAAATATCAGGAATATTTTATTATATAAAATTAAACAGGAGGCCCAGCCTCCTGGCACTGTCCACAGCATCCTGCAGTACCAGAAGCCCCATGACCCCCATGGATTCAAATCCCTGGGTTGGCCTGAAAACATGCTGGGTGCTCAGGCAGGTGCTCAAGAGCCTGAGCAACTTGTGGGCTGTGGAGAGGATTGTGGTATGATAATAATAATTTTAAGCCAGTAGGTGGCATGGTGGTTAAGAGTACTCAACTCCCACATGGCAGACTGCAGTTCGAGTCCTGGACCTGGGGGCTTGCTTTCTGGCTTTCTCTATCTCTCTTCCCTCTCTGGTCAAACTAAAATAAATAAATAAATAAAGCTAAATAAAATAATTCTTAAAAAATAGAAAAACAATAATTTTAAAAACTGCACAAGAACACTGGGTATGACGTTTATTTAATCACATAATAAGTAAAAATAGTCACTTTCTAAAGAACACTTCAAACCTGAAGAGGTGATGGACCGATTAGTCATTCAGAATTAAATAGCTCTATGCACCGATTTTCATCAATGGCTCTACAGAATATGAAAATTACAGTAAGATTGAAATCTGAAATCTAATTCCAATGTACAATCACCCATATTAACTTTCTAACAAAACCCCACTTAAATATCATGCGTCCTAACAGATGCTATAACTTTTTCCTGGAGAATTCAGTAAATAACCAACATCAGGGCAGAGCCCCTGCGTAAAGAGGCGCAGGCACCATGGCACATAAATACGGATCGTCACTATAGATATTTACTTCATGGGTGGCGAACTGGTCTTTGACTTCTTCCACATCATCAGAAATGTCATCCTGCTCCTGGAAAGTGTCCTCGGCAGAAAGCAACCAGGTCAGCACTTCCTCCAGTGCCATCTGATAGCTGTCCAGAACCATGTCGACCTCGGTGACCGTGCTGGGGGTTTCAGCTCGGGGACTCCCACGCTCCTCCTCAAGTGCTGTACCCTATAAAAACAAAGCCAAAAAAACCCACAATGCTTGTGAAGACAAGAGGTGTTCAACAAGGACACACGGTCGAGAGAAGCTAAGGTAAGCAGCGCCGTGTCTTAGGCATTCATCCAACTCCCAGGAGTCGGGCAAGCAAAGCCATGAGTTAGTCAGAAAGCATTTATTAGGCATGTTAAGATGGCAAAAAGTACAAAAGTGGCATGCACTCCGGAGTGCTCTTCTCAAGGAGATGCTAATATAGTTGGGGAGAGAGAAAGAACCCACATGAATCACTTCTGAACAAAAATAACATGGCTATTAGCAAAGTTATAAATTCCACGACGCCAACAAAGGATGCTGTCTGAGATCACCCAGGGCTAAAATAGTTGGGAAGGTGTCATAGAGGACCTAGAACATGCTGGGCCTTGAAGGATGGGCATAATCGAAAGAAAAGAAGAGAGAGGCAATAACTCTGCTTTGACTCCTACTTTGATATTGTCGCTGAATTGCATTTAAACACTATATTTTTAGACACAAAAAGTGAGCCACATATACAAGGTGTTGTACTGATGATTTTTATTTTCTTAGAAAAATGCCATCTTGGGGCCAGCAGATGGCATAGATGTTGTATCACTGGACTCCCACAGGGGGACTGTGGGGCGAATCAATCCTGGATCCAGTGGCTTGAAACTCATGCTGGGCATGTGTGCATGCATGCCCAAGATCCCAGGAGGAGAATGGATAAGCGACTGCATGGCCATCCTTACTGTGGGGTGACTTCTCGCTTTCCCTCTCACTGTCTCTGTCTCTCTGTCTCTCTACCTCTGGCAAGCAAACACACTCTAAGCAAAAAAAAAAAAACCTCTAAAATAAATGCCATCTAGTTTGCTTGATGGTCTTTTTATTTTCTTTTTATGTTTTTTTTATTTCTTTTTTTTTTTAATTGCCAGAGTGTATGTACACTTGACAGAGAAAGAGAAAGAAATGAGGAAAGCAAGCAATCACCCCCCCCAGGGGGTATGGTCCACCACAATCCCATCTCCTCTATTCTCCTCTTCGGATTTTGGGCATGCACACATATGCACCCTGGTGCAAGTTTTAAGTTGCCGGATTCAGGACTCCAAACTGCAGTTGACTAGTCTACATGGGAGTTCAGCAACGTAATCATTATGACATCTGCTGGTGCCCAGAGCAAAACTTTTAAACATGTGTATGTCCTGTGTCTACTGACTCCACAAGATTTAAATCACAACATTTCAATGTACAGAAATGCATAAAGAATAATATAAGCAATGTTTATCTGTGTTATCACTAGGTTATGAATGTTCCTTTTCCCTTTGATTTGGTATTTGTCCCACAACTCAGCTGAAAAGGCTTTTTTGGCTAATATTACCAATAACCATTCCCAGGTTACCTTTCAAGCATCTCATTTAGGGTAACTACCTGCTTAATCAACAAACTAGAATATCTTTTTTTTTAAGAGATTTTTGCTATAGGGCATGTGTGCTCACTGGAGAGACAGAGACAGAAAGCAAGAAATCATCCCCCAGGGGGAATGGCCACACCCAGTCCCTTCTCCTCTATTCTCCTTTTGGGATTTTGGGCACACATGCACACATATCTAGCATGAGTTTTAAGCTGCCGGTTCCAGGACCTGAACCACAGTCGACTACATGGGAGTCCAGTGATATGACCATTACACAATCTGCTGGTCCCCAAACTAGAATATCTTTGATAATAATTGGGCTAGAACAAAACATATAAACCAGTGTATGTCACCCCAAACTTCTTACTTAAGCCCTCAGTAGCATTCCAAGTAGTCAGTAGCATTCTGACTACTCTGCCCCTTCCTGAAAACTTCTCTCTCTGCTTCAGTAACAATACTATTGGGTGGTCAGAAAAGTCATGATGCATTATTGCACAGAAAAACAGGTCATGACTTTTCCAATGACCCAACAGTTTCTTCCTGGTTCAATAGCAGCTGAGTAACCTGTAAGTAACCAATCTCAAAACTAAATCTTAAGACTCTTTTCTTCTCCCTCTATACTTTTCCAGAATAATCTCAGTTATTTCCATCAGATTTAAAGAACTATTTATAACCATTTAAAAATTCAAACTCCACAATTCTGTATCCCACTCCTGTAACATCTCCACTCCACTGCCTCATAGGCATGTCAAACCACGCCCATAGTTAAGCCCTTCACTTCTTTTTCCAAAACATGTCCTCCTCAGGTCTCTCCATTTTAGGTGCTCTTCCATGCATCTAATTTCACTAGCTAAAAACCTGGGAGTCAGACTTGGTTTCTCCCTTCCTTCACCTCCTTCATCTGATGCCATTCCTGCCTTCAAAATTGATCTCAAATCCATACAGACCTTTCCATCTCCACAAGCACCTATGTCTCTCCTCTGGACATAAAAGCCTACCTTCCTGTTTGCCACCCACAAGCCTACCTTCTCTCACACAGTCCATTTCTCATACAGCAGCCAGAATAATCTTTTGAAAATGCAATCACATCGTAAGATTTCCCTACTTAAAGACTTTTACTACATTCTCAGTACTCTTAAGATATAATTTAAATTAAATAAATAAATAAATAAAATAAAGATACAATTTAAAGTTCTTAACAGTCTATGAAAGTACTATGATAGCAAGAAACACAAAGTGTGTGTGGTGTTGGCTTTGGATAAGTTAACCAGAAAAAAACCTCTCTGCCAAGTTTCCATTTAAACTGAGGAAAAAATGGGAAGATTGCCATGCAATAGTGGTTGGAGGAGTGCTACAGTTTAGTTGTGGTTTGTCCCCACCAAAACTCATGATGATGCTTGGTCCTGGTGTGGCAATGCTAGGAGGTGGACCTTTAGAAGATGAGGCTAATGGGAGGAGTCTAGGTCATGGAGGCTCCCGTCCATGGAGGAGTTGGTGCCATTCTCAAAGTGCTGAGTACTCTGCTACTAATCCAGCTTCCTCAAGAACAGATAGTTATAAAATAAAGTTGCATCTCCTGTGTTGCCCCTTTGCCACATGGCCACTCACCTCTCTGCTTCTCTGCCATGTTTGATGCAACACATAACCCTCAGCAGAAGCAAGAATACACCAGCCCTATGTTCTTGGATGTTCCAATCACCAAAACTGTGAGCTAAATAAACCTTTATTCTTTATGAATACCCACCTTCATGTATTCTGTTACAGAAACACAAAATGAACTTAGACAAGATGCATTTCATAGAAAGGAATCTGCATATAAAAGAATCTCAGAGAAGAACAGAAAAAGCCTACTATAAATATATGGAGGTAGGCTGGGTCTTGTAAACTACACAAGAAAATGAGATTTTCATTAATTTGAAGCGTGGGACATAAAGAAAACACACAAAATAGATTGTACAGAAAGAAGCAAACATATCTAGTAAATTGAATACAGTAGTTTAGAAAACCTGGGCAAGCAGGTGGTGTGGTGGTTGGGGCACTGGACTCCTACATGGCTGACCACACTTTGAGTTCTGGACCTGGTGGGTTGCCTTCTCACTTTCTCTCTCTCTGCCACTCTGGTGAGCACACATGCCCTATAGCAAATTAAATAATAATAAAATTAAATAAATAATTTTTAGAAAAAAATGAACCAGTGAGACCTACCTGCAGTGGTGTACAGGAAGTATCATCCCTTCAGAAGTGGGAAGCTACATGGGAAGCCCAGGTTCAGTTCCTGGGCCAATGTGGACACACCAGAAAAAGCTGCATATGCCTGTAATCCTATCTAACTGGAAGGCTCTGACAAGAGGGTCATGAGACAACAAGACCTTACAAAAATACCAACCTCTGTCTGTATCTCTCTCCCTCACTCTCCCCTCTTTTCTTATAAAGGGGGGGGGGGGAGGACCAGTGAGCAAAGAGTTGTGCTATAGAGAAAAAATAACCCTGGAGAATTCTTAGTACTGAGCCTCCGTAGCATAATGAGGATAGCTGAGAGCTAACAAAGTTGGTAACCAACCAACCAAAGCTCGCCTAGATAAGCACTAGCACCTATGAGGTGAAATGAAAACCATTTTCTAAATGCAAACGTTCAGAAGGTATTAATTAAAACATGTGAGAAAAGGCTAGACAGTGGAGCAATGGTAACGTAACACTCCGGAAGCCAATTCCACATGGGAAGCTCCCAGTTAACTCTGGAGACCTCCCTGAGTACCCTAGACACATGCTTGCCCATGATCCAGGCAGGGTGAAGGCTGGAGTGGATCATGGTATTGGAGCAATGACAGGGATTCTCTCTCTCTCTCTCTCTCTCTCTCTCTCCCCTCTCTCTCTCTCTCTTTCTCTCTCGCTCTCTCTCAGTAAAAAAAAAAAAATTAACTTAAAAAAATGAGAAGTTTGTCTGACAGATGTTTAAAGAGAAATGCAGAAATTGTCTGCTGACTAGTAGCATATGTTTTTACAAAGGACAGAGCAGGAGCAGAAGGCTGGCTATTAGCATTCACTGGAAAGTAGTGGATGGCAAGCTATGTCAGGAGATGATTAAAACTTGATCACATTTTGTTTCTCAATTAATGTAATTCAACCTCTAAGGCACTAATGAAAGCATTCAAATGAAGAGGTTAGTGTTAATACACTTGCTCTTAAGCAAACAGCAAATAGTCTCTGTAACTTTCATCATGCCACCCTGAGCCTAAACCGAACTGATTACAATATCTACTCAGTATAAAAGGCAAATGAAGGCCCTTTTGTTTTTTAAGAGAGAATGGACTTAAACCATAAGAATTAAAATATCCCATCTTTTTAACAAGAGAAATCCCAACCCAATGCGAAAATGATTCTAAAACTAAGAGGCAAACAAAAAGATTTCCCTTAAAAAGTTCATCACTGGGGCCAGCACACAGTATAATGGTTAAGGTGCTGAACTCCCATGTGGTTGACTGTGGTTTGGATCCCAGGCCCAGCAGTTTAACTCATGCCAGGTGCGTGTGCATATATGCCCAAAATCCTGAGAGGAGAATGGAGGAGAAATGACTGCAGTGTGGCCATGCCCCCCCCCGGGGGGGGTGGGCTTCTCACTTTCTATCTCTCTGTGTCTCGCTGGCAAGCACACACTCCTATAGCAAAAATCTCTAAAAAAAAATAATAATAATTAATGCAGAATAATGACCACACTATTGAAGGCAAATGCTTGCCAGCATTTTGTCAGTAAGTTTTAAGAAGGTAGGGCTTTTCTTAAGAATCACTTGATTTTTAAAATTACTACAAAGAGCCCTGGGTACAACTGAGCCTGATCTCTCTCACACTCTTTTTGTCAATTAAGTGTATTCCCCTTGAACTTTCCTATAAATCCTGCTATTTTTTTAAATGGAGAAAATAAAAGGTTGTTAGATACTACACAAGGGAAATTTTAAATAAGTTCTCTGATTCTCAGAGGAAGGAAATAAAAAGATGAGATGTTATTACTATAATATGAGAATTAAGTAATATTTTTAAAGGGAAACTTGTTGAACGAGGTTACCAAAAGAAATTGGGAGAAAAGATTACAGTAATGATAACTGCTGTTTATTTTTATAAGAAAGGGTATTTTATCATCTTAGATACTTTGAATACATTATTTTGATGAAGAAAGTGGTTTTAAACACATTTTGAAGACAAAACTTTGATTGAGAAGTTAAATAACCAACTAAAAATAAGAAGCAACAGGATGAAATTGAAGCTCCAGAGCCCATGCTTTCTGTCTCTCTAAAATACACCTCTAATAATTTTGAAATCAAAGTGTTTGGTTGCCGGTTGCTAAAATGTTAGAACAAGTGACTTTTAAGGTCTTATCCAACTCTTTTCTTTTTTAAGTTCATTTGTTACATGAGTGAGAGACACAGAGAAAGACAAAGAGATACAGCACCTACAACAGGGTCCTGATGTCATGACCCACTCTCAGCTTCAGCCAGCCCTGGATCATGAGTACAAGCGTGCCTGACACAAACCTAGAAACATCTCAGGTAGGTCCGCCTTGCAGAGTCTGGATCTTACCACTGTGCCACCATCTAGCTCCCCCAAGGTCACACCTAGCTCTTGAAAGTCTCTGATTTTATGGGAGCAACAGATGGAGTGATGGTTACGTCGCTGGACTCTCATATAGTCAACCGCAGTTCTAGTACTGGACCCAGTGGCTTAAAACTCATGCCACACATGTGTGCATGTGTGCCCAAAATCTCAAGAGAATAGAGGAAAAGGGGGCCATCCCTCCTGGGGGATTTCTTGCTTTCTTTCTCTGATATTTTTCAAAGGCAAATTAAAAAAAAAATTATTACATAGAAAAATACAGGCTAACATGAGGAAAACCATCTACAGCACACAACAAGAGTGATAAAAGATAAAGGATGGTGAGCAGATGATGGAAAAACGAAGTTTCTTAAGCATGTCTTACAGAAGCATGACAAACAGCCTCAGACCCTGACTCAGGCCTGGTTGTATAAAGTCATGCATTTTCCTTTCGAAGAAAGTCAGCTGAGGTACGGTTTTCTACTACATTCATGTGATAGCATGCTAAGTGATAAATTGAACTTATGAAAATAGAAACTGAAAACCAAGATGTTCTCAGTCAAGAAACAACCCTCTGGCGACCAGCAGTTAGCGCAATAGCTATGTCGCTGGACTCCTTTGTAGCCGAGTCCTGGATCCAGTGGCTTAAACTCAACGCCAGGTGCGTGTGTGTGCATGCCCAAGATCCCAAGAGGAGAATGGAGGAGAAGGGATTGTGGCGTGGCCATCCCCCTGGGGGATGATTTCTCGCTTTCTGTCTCTCTGTCTCTCTGGTGAGTGCACGTGCCTATAGCAAAAAACTCTCCAAAAAAAAAAAAAAAAAGAAACAACCCTCTGAAAGTGTTTTTACCTAGTGATTACGAGAAAACAAATATGGCAAGCCCAACACTGTAATAAAAATGTACGTGTACCTGTATATTAATTTCTTCCTCTTCACATTCTTTCTTATATTTCCTTGGGAGTGTCTCTACCTCACGGATGGCATCTATGGTGACTTGCTGAGGTAGCACCTCAAACAAAGATGTTAAATACATAATTATGGATTTCTTGTCAGGCAGCTGAACAGCAACATCTAAAAGTAGAAGTAAATAAGAAGCAGCTTAAATTAGATGTCCAAAATACATGAACTATTCAATATTACATATAAAATAACTCCCCTTAGCACCCATAAACAATACCAAATATATAATCTTCTAAATACCCATAGTTCAGTAAATTCTTATTTCATATCAATATATAAAACAAAGGCAGAATACTTTTTCTGCACTGTATGCCATTCTTAAAAAATCTTCTCTAAAACCTTCCCTTAAATGCTCAAAGATAAGCTTTCACATTTACAGTAATGACACAGACTTTAGTCATACTATGAAAATAATACCCTGCCATATTCATAACTAAAGTCTTTGCATCATATGTAAGAAGCTCACACAAAAACATATTTCAGTTAACTAAACCAAATACTAAATTGTTTATCTAATGATTATATTTCTCAAAAATGTTAAAGCTTACTTGATCTGTATCAACTAGTTATCCAATAGTATAATTAAACTTCTACCTAAGGAAAAGACCCTAAAATGGCTAAGTACAAAAGTACTAATATCTTGTCTGCAGTAAAATTGCTTGCACCTACGCTTCAAAAAGAGAAAGACTCCCCATCCTCATAATTCATTCTTTAAAGGAAAAAAGTTGCTTTTCAAGTGTCCAATAGTGTAGAGGAAAATCAAGGTTGAAATTAAACACTGAACCATACCTTCAGGATCTAACAGCTTTTCAATTCCCAAGTAAGTCTGAGCCTTGTTGAAGGCATGTTCAAGTCTCTCGATTGGGGACATTTTGACAACTCTATCCCAGCTGAAGAGATCAGGCCTGAAATCACCATGCAGATAAAATGCAATGAAGATAAAGTATGTGGAAACAAAGTAGGCATTGTTATCATCGAATGCATTTCAATTTTAGATTTTATTTGTGAGGTTTTTTTTTTTTTGTCTTTTATATCCCAAAGGCTTGTCAAATATATTATTTGACAGTAATTTACAGTCATGAAAATAAAAAATAGCACATTCTAAGCATATTAGTTAAATATACCTGTCAAGATTTATGGGGAAACCACTATAAAAACTAGAAGTAGAATATAACATTTCCAAAATAGTAAAAGTAATAAAGGAGAGTAGGAGCTATGGATACCAAAAAAAAAGACAAGAAAGAGAAAAGACATATTAAAGTTAAGAAAAGTGAGAGGCACACCGGGTGCGTGTGCGTGCGTGCCCAAGATCTCAAGAGGAGAAATGGAGAAGTGATTGTGGTATGGCCATCCATCCTGAGGGGTGATTTCCTGCTTTCTGTCTCTCTGTTTCTCTGGTAAGCACACACTTGCTATAGCAAGAATTTCTCTCTAAAACAAAATAATAATACAGAAATAAGAGAACACAAAACAACCAAGAAAATACCTATCAAAATGTAGGAAAAAGTCCACAAATACCGATAATTAATGTTGAATGTTAATGGACTAAATTCTTCAATTAAAAAAAAAATCAAGACTTTTTTTTTAATCAAGCAGAACAGAAAAGTCCAGCTCTAATCTGATCAGAAGATACTCCTAGAACCAGCAGTTAGTGTAATAGCTATGTTGCTGGACTCCCATGTAGTCAACCACGATTCGAGTCCCGGACCTGGTGGCTTAAACGCATGCTGTGCGTGCGTGCCCAAGATCCCAAGAGGAGAATGGAGGAGAAGGGATTGCAGGGTGGCCATCTTCCCTGGGGGGTGATTTCTCGCTTTCTGTCTCTCTGTCTCTCTCTGTCTTTCTGGCGAGCGCATGCACCCTATAGCAAAAACCTCT